CAATTATCTAGACATGTGTGGCAGGAAACAGTACTTGCCAGGAGCGAGTATTTGCTACATCTCATTTTGGATACCAAAATTTGACTATTTTTCAGCAATTGATTTGTATTCTCAATGGAGAAAAGACAAAGAGTCTTGTACTGTGAATTTTTGAGTAGAAATGCTAGAGAAATCCTGCAAAGATGGGCTTAAGACACAAATTTTCAGGTTTATAACTATCCAGTTCAAAGGTGAAGGGAGCTTTGCAAACCACTGTATTTCTGTGTCTTCAGCCAACATACAAATAATGTTCAGACTTTCCTTTCCTACCAAATCACCATTCTCCTCACATCTCACAATATCCTACTGTGGTGAAGTATGAATTTTAACTTTTAGTCATGTGTAATTATAGATAGGTGTTTAAAAAGTTTAAGTATTTAAAATAGCATAACTGGAGGGATGGTAGCTAGCTCAGCTCACTCTGAGCTGGGTTGCCATGGAAAAACGGGCTGAGCCAACTGCCACTTGGCAGGGCAGGCATTTTGAAACAGTCAGTCTGTAGTCGGAGAGCTACAGGGAAGGCTGGTTCTACTGTGTTGAGAACCAGTAAGGTAGTCTGTGGGAAAGGCTGGTTCTCCTGTAGTGAGAATCAGGAAAGGCTGGTTCTCCTGTAGTGAGAATCAGGGAAGCAGTCTGTACTCTTAGAACTACAGGGAAAGGCTGATTCTACTGTGATGAGAATCAGGGAGATTTAGGCTTTTAGCCTGTGAGGTTTAGATAGGTCAAGTTGACTTCTTTTGATTAGTAGTTAGTGTATGAGCAAAAAGGGGGTGAGAAACCCAGTAAGCATCTTTACGGCAACAGAAATAACAAAGAAAGAAACACAGTTTGAAGAAAATAAGTTTAAAACCTGTCTATTGGAAGGAACAGTCTTCTCAAGAGTTGTTTTATGAAATGTTATAAATGTAACCTCTGAAGAAATGTGCCTCTAGGAGTTAAGAAACCTTGAAACCATTAAGCTTCTCCTATACTTCAATAAACTTGTTACAGTTTCTCTTAAAGCCAAGTCTCTGTTACGAATACTTTCAAGTCAAGCTGCGCTACACATTGAAGAAAGACCAACAAAATATTACAAGCTATTAGCTGTCTTATCAATTTTGTAAATCCATTACAGCTAGTAGGAGACCCTGATAAATCAGAGACGACCCTACTACTTCTGGTGTCTTTGTTGCAAATTGGTGGCATCTTTACACATAGCCATATTTTTATCTCTTTTCCTCTCTCTTTTTAATCTCTTTATAACTCTGAACCATAGAGTAAAAGAAAAAGGAACTCTTTCACCAGGGCAATGGGAATAAGAATAGAAAGGAATGAAAGAGTACCACCTTTTTCCTTCCTCAGATTTGTGCTATTCCACAGGTGCTGGTTACATAGAGGTGGAGAAAGGGACAGATTCTCCCCACCTAGCTACTATGATCAAGTAAGAAAAGAACAACTAAGGGGAATTTTGAAAGTTCAGGATAGTAAGGATTAGGAGGGCGGGGGTCATTTAAAAAGAATGGAAAAAAGCTATATCATGGGATCACGACAATCTAGGGCAAATAAGAAATTGGTCACTATCTCTGTTTCTGAATCTTGAGCTAACTAAACAATTTCATGTTTTCCAGAACTGAAAAACCTTTCTCATTTAATTACTTCTATTTTCAACATCGCAAAGAAAAGCCTCACCACTAACATTTCCACCACTCCAGAGAAGAGAGGTCTGCAGCTGTTCTCATCATCCAGTTGATGTGAACTCTCTTCTCTGAGAACTGCTGCTGACATCGCTGCCTGATTCCTGCTAGGAAGACCATCTGCCTTCCTGCAGGAGCTCCAACTCCCCAGGCACTGAGCCAGCAACTGAAACAGTCTGGAACTCTGGATGCCCCCCTCACACTTTGACAGAAGGGTTGTGTGTAAATCCAGGACCTAATCTTGTATGATCGTGCCAATCTATCTTGTATTGTGGGGACTTGATTGGATGGTGCTGGGGTGTTAGCCTCTCCCAGTTTTATCTACTTGGGTTCTCTGTAGAGCAGTAGGCAAATGGTAGAGTCTATGGCAGGCATGGGGAAACTTGGGCCCTCCAGGTGTTTTGGATTTTAACTCTCACCATTCCTAACAGCCTCAGGCCCTTTTCTTTTCTCCCCTCAGCCACTTGAGCTTAAAGGGCCCAAGGCTGTTAGGAACTGTGGGAGTTGAAGTCCAAAACACCTGGAGGGCTCAAGTTTGCTCATACCTGGTCTATAGGGAATCCATCTCCCTCAACAGGGGCCTGCCCCACAGTCTACTAGGTTTGAACTTATATACTTAATGGTGGGTGGTCATCAAGCACAGGTATTTTGAATGGTCAGAAGCATTTTAAACTCTACTGTATAGGAACAGTATGGAAACCACTCTCGTGAATAAAATCATCAGAGGCTGCTGTCTTAGAGAGTATAGGTTAGATCTGGTACCATGATTACCAAATATGATTACTAGGCCTGGGTAACAACGGAAAAATTTGTTTCTAAAATCGATTTGTATTTGGGGTTTTTTTTGTTTCGATATTTAAAATAATTACAAAATTTTCCTTTTAAAAAGTTCGATATTTACGAAATTTCGTAAATGGTAAAAAATTAACGAATCGATTTCCGCAACAATAACAAATCGATTCGTTAATGGCGGACGCGACCGCGAAATACGCTAAAAAACCTCCAAAACCTTCTGAAGCTTCCCTCTCCCTCTGTTGTTGACTGTTGGTGTGATATTATAATTTTTTTCACTAATTAAACCATAAAACTGGCCCAGACATGCGGAAATAATAACGAAACGACCTCAAAACAATAACGAAACGAATACAATATCGAAATACGAAGCATTTACAAAACGTTTTTGAAAATATTTTTTTTAATAATTGCTCCAGAATGGTTCGTTATCGTTTTGTAATTGAAAAAATAACGAATTATTTACGAATTAACGAAACGAAACCGCCCAGCCCTAATGATTACCATATTTGGTACCAAATATGAAAATTTATTAAATATGAAAATTCAAGGAAGCTTCTTGTGCAGGGTGTAGGTCTAGAACAGTTTGATGCCAAGCTTAGTTAGATGCCCTTTTACATACACTTTGAAAGCATTTAGACAATCCAGTCTGTAAGCAGTTACAACTCTAAAATGTTATGCTACAGGTTTCTCCTTGTGTAATACCACAATTCTGTACCACTGGAAACTAGATTCCATTCCTTTATCTGAAACAAAACTGTGATCCAAAGTATTCAAAATACTGCATCTCCAAAATGTGAAATAATTACGCCACATGCAAAGTTATGGACTGATTTTCAAGCAGAATAAAAATGGAGCATGGCAAAGCAACTTCACCCACATTTATGACTGAGTTACTAATGCTAAACCTAAAGCACCATGCAAAAACTATTATGATGTTCTGTCTATAATGCACAATGATTGCTTGAGAAATAATATTTGCTGGTTTAGGCTGGATTTCTTACTTTTTTGATATTTGAGTTTCATAAATAACTATATGGAAGTAACCTCACCATCATTTCTTCACTAAATGGGGTGCTTTTAACTTTATTTATTACTGTTATTACTTCAAGCACTCTGAAATAGCAGGCTGCATAAATATGAGGCTAACTACAATTTGTAACCATGAATTTTTATCTTAGATTCAAATCAGATGAGTTTTTTTCTAGCTTTGCACAGTCAACATCAAAAAGGTGGAGAATAACTGCACATGCATGGAGTTATATTGGGGGGGGGGGGGATTAATGACATTGTGCAACTAAATGAACAACCAATGCAGATATACATCTGCATGTGCAATGTGCATGCACACCCATGTATATTGTGCATCCAGGTTCTACATTGCCACATATATAATTTTGACTTAGTCCATAGGGAAGCCATGTATAAAGGGGAATTGACATGTGCATATGACACCAATAGTATTCTGCTCATAATGCTTAATGGAATATTGTTGTAAGTGGATTCTGCATACATAGCTCAGGCTAGGCCAGTTTTATATATAATTGGAAATGTTAGGATTTGTAATCCAATGATATCTGGAAGCCCACATGATTTTCACTACTGAAGTACAGGCTTAATGTTTTTATTTGTAAACATGGATTTAGTTGTTAAAAATCAATATGATAGTTAGAATCGTGTTAACTTGCCATTTCCTTGTGCACAACTGACCCAATAGTGTTAATCTATGTCTGTCCAGCCAATGAACAGCTAAAGGAAGGTAGGAGAGATGCCTAGCAAGCATCCATTTACATTTCCAAAGATGGAAACAGAGAGACAATTGCATCTTCTTTGAAATAAGAAAAGAGAATATCATCTTTGTACTTCCAGATGCAGGAACACAACTGGACACTACTTGGTAATTCCTCATTCCCCCCACCCCCACACACTAAGAATTGGTACTAAAGTGCACCAGCATTAACAAATCAGTTATGTACATGTGGGTGAAGGAGGAAGAAAACTGGTTAAAGCTAAGCATGGTGGAATGAACCTTTCTCTCAAAAGTTCCTCATTCAGGGGGGATTAGTTTAACCCATGGTGCTGTATTATGGATTACTAGTATGATGAAATCAAACCATTTGGTATGCTGGTATAATGGAAGCCCCTCAAATGAATTATTTATTGTGGAACTTCATCCTTTTAGTTTTCAAATAAAAATGACATCCAAGATATGGTTTTTTGGGGGGTTTGTGTGTGTATATGTGTATATAAGGCTACATAATAAGTATTTAGGAAAGAAAACTGATAAGGTAGCACAATTGTGACTGTGCATCTGCTGAAATAATTATGTTTTTCCACTCATAAGTTTTTCAATGATGAAGCGAGGTATTTACCAATCCAAAATCTAATAAATAACATTTTGGAGTAGGTCTGCCAATATTCTATTGAACCATTTTTGGATTGAATGAATGTGTTTTCTCATCAACAGGCTATTGTGCATCATAACAGTTCTCTTACCTAACAGTGTGGTCGATGGAACAGTGTCTGATGATACTTTGAGATGAAATTCCATTTGCGCACAGAACACGGATCAATGGAACCCAACAGAAGGTCAACAGGAGAAAATAAAAGTGGAAAATAAAAATAAAAACACAAGGTTAGCTGTTTCCAATGTCCTAAAGAGTTCTTCACTGACAGATTTTGGTATCTACACAGGGAAAGGCACAAAAGGAAACACAGTTAAGAATAAAATCTCACATATGTACCTGAATAGTAGGAATTCAACAAAGATTTGCTCTGAAGGGTTTTGCTTTGGATAGAAAATGAACAAGGAGAGGATGGTGCTAGGTAGGAAAGACAAGGAAGAAACTTTAGAAATTTATATTTAGAGAGATAACAGAACAGGGAGAGAAATTCCACAGAGAAGGAGGTATTGAATGCATTGGACTGAACACAATAAAAACAGCTAAAAGAGATACATCTCAGTGATATCAAGACTTTTCCTTTTCATAATTATAATGTTGTACAAACAATTGGCAAGTTTTTACAATACATTGTTACAATACAGCAAAAGTGAGCAACACATGACAAAGAGTCTGCTTCTGTCCACCTTATTTAAATTAATCCTATTTTGTATATGTTCACCTTCTCTCAACACAATACATATGTTTTGGAGACTTCATTATGAGAGACTACAAAAATAAAATGCTATCTGAGTTTAAATGGGAAGTGTCAGTCAGTTTTGGATGGGGTTACTTGTTCATGGCTTGAGAGATAGATGTGATATTCAGGAGTGCTTATTACCATCTTCAACTGATATGCTGGCTGTGCCCCCTTCTAGAGTCGGAGGACATAAAGATGGTAGTGCACACATCTATCACCTCAAAGCTAATATCTCTATGTGCTGTACATTGAACAATCTCTGTACCACATTTGGAAACTCCAGTTAGTTCAAAACATGGCAGCCGAATAGGTTATGGGAACATCTAGGAGTGATAATTTCACACATATACTAAAAGCACTCCACTGGTTGCCAATTAGTTCTAGGCAAAGTACAAAGTGCTGGTTATAACTTTTAAAGCCCTTTGGATTAAGGTAACTTACAGAATTTCCTCCTCCCATATAATCCTCCCATAGACTTAAGCTCTCTGGGGGAACATTTACTCCAACCAGCCAGAACCTGACTGGCAACCGTCACCCAGTGACGGACAACCCTCACTTTTAATCGATTGCTCCGAGACTCTGGAATGACCTGTTAGAAGAGATTCAACAACTAAGGACCTTACCATAATGCTCAAAATATGCATCCTAGGATGCTTAGAGCTTTCTTTGGGGATGCAGTCCCATGACAGCCATGATGTCACCCATGGCGCTGCCCTCGGCCTGGCTAAAAGCATCACCAGACACTTTCCCCACAACACAGGAGGTGTCTTCCTTATTTGGGTAACACTTTCACTGTATGATGTGGAAAGTGTTGCCGCGCTGGAAGCAAGTTAGGCAACAGAGTTGCCCTAACAACTGCTGTTTCATCATGCCTGCTGGCAAAATGGCGGGGGAAGGGGGGGCTCCCCCATGTGATAAGGAAGTAAATGAGCTGTCACAATTCAAGACACAACTGAAGACCTATCTCTTTCTTGCAGGTCTACGCACTCAATTTTAAACTGTGAATTTTAAACTTACATTCTATTTGTGTTTTAATATATATTGTTGCACAATGTATTTTAATACAAGTATTCTGTGGTGGCGGTGTTTTAACTATATATGTATTTTGTCATATGAATGTTATGGTGATGTGTTTAACTATGTTGTACCTCAGGTAACAAATGAATTATTATTATTATTATTATTATTATTATTATTATTATTATTAGGTCATTGAACAAATGTATTCTATATTTCATCAGAAAAGAATAGAGTGTTCGTAATGGACATATTTTGAATTTGGGATTATTGGAATTTAGCATTTTAAAATGTACAGCAACATACAAGCTGCAAGTGGGTAAAATACATGGAAATACATTCTAACAACATGAGTTAACTGAAAGTATGTGAAAGGCCAATTATTTTTCCTTCTTTGGGTCACTTCTTATAGCCCACTTTAGCATCAAAGTTCAAGCCTTTCTTGCAATCAACTTTGTCTTACCCCTCTATCCTATCAGTCCTAAAATGTTTCTTCAAACAGTATGCAAAATTTAGTTTAATATTCTGGGCTTTTGCTTAACTTTATTATTTTTGGCACCATTTTTGTGATATTTTTGCTGTTTTGGTTTGTTACTGATTTTATTTCTCACTGTATGTCATTCTGTGTGTCAGATGACAGAGCAAAACTATTTTTAGTGATGTATCAGTCTCCATCAATTGAGCCTGCACTTTGGAAAATTTGTGCTTGAATGCTTCCACACAAGGAAAAAAATGCAAATATAAACAATCAAGTCAAAGAAATTGATGGTATCCCTTTCTATTTCCCACACTATTTTTATACACGTAGAAAGAATTATTTGCTCTGCAGAAAGCATCAAAAAACAAAAAATCCCACATTAAACAAATGCATCTAAAATTAAGTTAAAAAATCATTTATGCAAATCAATGACATTTTAAATTAATCTTAGAAACAAGATCATATATTGGGGAATCCAACATTCAAGGATTCAGTGCTGAGCAATCACAGATCGTAGCATTTTAAGTCTTTCATACTTGTTGACAAATATTTTATCTCCTTGGAATGGTAAATGGATTAACTTTAAAAGCACAAGAAAAAGAAAACAGCTATTCCATATTACTATATAAAAGTAGATTAAATTAAATGAATCAAAAGGCAATTGAAGAAGTGATTTCTTCATTTTGTGAAGAACTTGAGAAATGTAAGAAAGCTTATCAGAATTACTCAATGAGGTGAACAATACTCCCAAAAATTCACATAAAATTGTACTGAGAGACGAAAATTATTAGACATTGGGCTTTTTCCCTCCTGCCAAAGAATTTTCCCTTGAGAAAACAAACAATTGCTTCTGAACAAATAATTGGTTCTGTGCCAGCCAGATCTACTGCTAAGAAGATGAATTTTGATGAGTAGGATGTACTATATGAGCTCCAGCTGACGTTTTAAGCACAAAATACACACTTTGAATGAGTTACATACAATCAGTAACAAAAATGCACATAAGTATGTCATCTCTTTCTGTTTGACTTTTTATACAACTACATGTGTGGATATAAATATTGGTCTAGAAATCTGCATCAAGGATACAAACTGCTTAGAAAAATACCGTGACAAAGATATATTTGTGCTCATCCCTCAAGCAAAGGTTAAGTAAGTATGGGCACATGAATCAGACATAGGAAAATTGAATGGTTTGATGATGTGATTGGATGATGTTTTTAATGAGGAGACCCTAATGATACATGTTTTTATTGATTTTATTGATTCTGTTATGGTTTTATTATTCAATTGTTTTATTATATTGAAATTGTATTTTATGGTCTTGATACCAACTGTAAATTGTCCCAAGTCACCTGCAGGCTGAGAGGGACAGTATATAAATGCTGTAAATAAATAAATAAATCACTGAAAGGCCTACCAGCTTCCCCACATACACATGTTATCCCCACATCCATATTTACTCTTTTTTCATATCCCTAGGAGTTATTTGTTAATTACTCATTCCAAATTTGAAAGCAGCCTTCCTGACAGTCACGAAGAAGAGGTCAACACAATTTTCTCCTTGTTTTCAAGTTCCCCAAAGTATTGCAGAAGAATTATTATGTAGAGAAAATGAGGTTTTTGTGCCATTTCCATTTTCTGCACAGAAATGGGCTTTCTGTACAGATAGCACTCTTTCCTGTGCAGAAAGTGCTCTCACGTGAATATCCATTTCATTTGCATTAGCTTCAGGAGGTTCAGCATTTAGATAAGGCTATATTTGATGCTTCTGAAATTGCAGATGCCTCCTCTTGGAAAAGTGTAGCTCAAAATCTTTTTTCTCTAACATTATATACTCTATATCCATCATTTATCCCCCAATCTCTTGAACTTTCCATGATTCTCATCCCAACTCAGCATACAACCAAAGTGATGGGTAAGGTAAAATTGCATTTCAGGTTTCTCAACTCCCTGTACCTAAACTCAGAAATATTTTAGGTTTTCTGTATAAGAAATATAACACTTCTACAAAAATTACATAAATTACCAATAGGAGGGAGAAAAGAGGAAGCAAACCACCATGTCCCCAAGTGACAACATGCATATTTTATTCAAAACATTGCACCTATCTTTATTAACTTTTGTAGCTTTCTTAATAGGGTACTTCTATTAAGTATATCATTTTATTTATTTTTAATAACACCCCCCCCCCCCCCAAGTGGATAAGCACATGATTTTGGGGAAAAGCATGAAACTACAAGTGAGACAAGCAATCTATGGCCATCAAACCACCAGTGGTTCTTGTTCTCATATCATGTGGCTCAGAAAAGTTATCTGCAAAGTTAGACTTTCTATGACAGTAATAGGTATTTTCCCTATAGCCCAGCTGGAAAGAAATGATAGACAGGTGACATGGATTTAAAAACTGTGTGTGTGTGTGGGGGGGGGGGTGGTGGTGGTCTAATTTTGGTTGAGGTCATGAAGAGTCGGAAGTGACTGAACAATTAAACAACAACCTCCATTTTTTTTCAAGGAAAGTAACCTTCTATAGAAACAAATGTTGCTTATTCCTTCCAATACAAGCTACTTATGCACAGAATTGCCTCCTACTGAAGCTGGTTTGATCCCCTCAGAACAGATAGAGTGGAGTCTGGCTTATCTAACCTTCACTCATCCAACATTCTGTATTATTCAACGCAGTCTTACTCCTGCCAGGATCCACAACTGTTTCTCTAGGCAGTCAATGTTTTCAATACATTGCGATGTTTTGGTGATAAATTCGTAAATACAGTAATTACCACATAACGTTACCATGTATTAAACTGCTTTTTCTATTGGTTGTAAAACATGATGTTTTGGTGCTTAATTTGTAAAATCATAACGTAATTTGACGTTTAATAGGCTTTTCCTTAATCCCTCCTTATTATCCAACATTTTTGCTAATCCAACGTTCTGCCGGACCATTTATGTTGGATAAGTGAGACTCTACTGTATTTATGTGCTGTAGTTTTCACCCAATCCTGTCAGAAATAAAAAATAAATAAAACTGGTAGTTTGTTTTCTTTTTTAAAAAAATGAGTAACACAAAACCATCTGCTCCCATTTATCCAAAATTTATAAACTGAAAAGGATTTAAAGCCATTTCTTTGTTTCCAATGACACTCAATGAGAAGCAGAAAGGTTTAAATTTCTGAATTAAGACTGAAATTGAGGTCCAAGTCAAACCTGAAATTCAATACTGTGAAATACTTCTTTTGCATGATAAACTATTACATAGACTGAAAATTTATTAAGAGAGACATTTAAATTTTTACAATGATTTAAAAAATGCTTCTGGACAGAAATTTCATTTCATTTCCTGTGATTAACCTCATTTCACCCACATTGAAAAGCAGGAAGATGGGAGGACTTGTGTGTTCATTTATGTCTCACTCTATGACACAGGTTCTCCAGTTAATAAGAAAAGGCTCATCCACATTAAATTGAGTATGTGTCCAAAATAGGTATATTCATTTGGATGTCCGTAAGGATCTATGCATCTGTATTCATTTTGATCTAGCTACAACAGTCTTCTTAAAACCAAAACACTTTGCATTTGCCTTTTGTAGTCTCCTATAGGAATTATGGAAGGAGAAGAATATCAAAGAAGACTTTTGTTGTTAATTCATTCAGTCATTTCCTACTCTTCGTGACCTCAAGGACCAGTCCACGCCAGAGCTCCCTGTTGGCCGTCACCACCCCCAGCTCCTTCAAGGTCAATCCAGTCACTTCAGGGATGCCATCCATCCATCTTGCCCTCTCTTCCTTTTTCCTTTCATTTTCCCCAGCATCATTGCCTTCTCTAAGCTTTCATTTCTTCTCATGATGTGGCCAAAGTATTTCATCTTGACCTCTACTATCCTTCCTCCCAATGAGCAGTCGGGCTTTATTTCCTGAAGTATGGACTGGTTGGATCCTCTGGCAGTCCAAGGCACTCTCAGAACTTTCCTCCAACACCACAGTTCAAAAGCGTTTATCTTCCTTCGCTCGGCCTTCCCTATTGTCCCAGCTCTTACATTTGTAGGTGACTATGGAGAATACCATGCTTTTACTATGCAGATCTTCATTGCCAGTGTGATGTCTCTACTCTTCACTATTTTATCAAGATTTGTCATTGCTTTCCTCCCAATAAGTAAGCGTCTTCTTATTTCCTGGCTGCAGTCTGCATCTGCAGTAATCTTTGCACCTAGAAATACAAAATCTGTCACTGCCTCCATGTTTCCCAGTTGTCTATCATTCTTGTTGCCATAATCTTGGTTTTTTGATGTTTAGCTACAACCCAGCTTTTGCGCTTTCGTCTTTCACCTTGATTAGAAGGCTCCTCAGCTCCTCCTCACTTTTGGCCATCAAAGTTGTATCTGCATATCTAAGGTTGTTAATGTTTCTTCCAGCAATTTTTTTTACCCCAGCCTTGCATTCATCATGATCCGCACATCACATGATGTATTCTGCATACAAGTTAAATAGGTTGGGTGAGAGTATACAACCCTGCCGCACACCTTTCCCAATCTTGAATCAGTCTGTTGTTCCATTGTCCATTCTTACTGTTGCTACTTAGTCCTTATACAGATTCCTCAGAAAAGAGACAAGGTGATTTGGTATGCCCATACCACCAAGAACTTGCCACAATTTATTATGAGCCACACAGTCAAAGGTTTTAGAATAGTCAATAAAACTAGATGTTTTTCTGAAACTCCCTGCCTTTCTCCATTATCCAGTGGATATTGGCAATTTGGTCTCTTGTTCCTCTGCTTTTTCTAAACCCAATTTGTACATCTGGCAATTCTTGCTCCATGTATTGCTGGAGTCTTCCTTGCAGGATCTTGAACATTACTTTACTGGCATGAGAAATAAGGGCCACTGTACAAAAGTTTGAGCGTTCTTTAGCATTTCCCCTTTTTGGTATAAGGATATAAGTTGATTTTTTTCCAGTCTGATGGCCATTCTTGTGTTTTCCATATTTGCTGGGATATGGCATGCATCACCTTGACAGCATCATCTTTCAAGATTTTAAACAGTTCAGCTGAGATCCCATCATCTCCTGCTGCCTTGTTGTTAGCAATGCTTCTTAAGGCCCATTCAACCTCTCTCCTCAGGATGTCTGGTTCTAATTCACTCACCACACTGTCAAAACTATCCTTGATATTATTATCCTTCCTATACAGATCTTCTGTATAGTTTCGCCACCTTCTCTTGATCTCTTCAGCTTCTGTTAGGTCCCTGCAATCTTTGTTTCTTATCATGCCTACTTTTTCTTGAAGAAGTTATCACCATTTATTTTTCAATGAAAGTAGAATCTGGCAAACCTTAGTACAGGATTATAGTCTTGTTTAAGAGCAGTGCATGATCCTTTTATTGGGATTCAGATGTTCTTAAAAATTAAAGATCATCTGTATCCCAATAAAATTATTATGACCATCAATGTGAATTCATAATGCTGCTAGTCTTCATTTCATCCTAGTTTGGAGCCAGCTAAAGTAAATGGGTCAAGAAGTGGAAATCAGATTTTTGAACCTGCCATGAGCAGAGCAAATTAGATAATGAGACCACAGAGTTCCTCTGATCATAATAACACTCCTTGTTTAATAACTTTGCATTCCATTTTGGATACTTCAACAGGAGGATGCTAAATCAGGGATAAGCAAGACAAGGCCCGAGGAAACATATTGTCATATGGTTTATTTCCAAGACTACTTTATAAGGGTCTCTTGCTACCACCAATGGTGTTGCCAGTAACACAACAGGAAAAAAAGTGTCATTTTCACATTAATATATTGTAATTGTTTCACTTTAAACAATTCACATACTGCTGACAAGTAAACTAAGAGAAAGCTTCAGGAACTGCTAATTTTTAATAATAATAATAATAATAAGAAGAAGAAGAAGAAGAAGAAGAAGAAGAAGAAGTGTGTGGGGGGTAGGGTGGATATTATCTCCAAGTTTTGTGGACCTACACACAACTTTTACATTGCACTCTAATTCCACTACCATGCCTACATCCTGTACTGATATTTACAGACTGGTAACACACTCAAGATCTTTGATGGGGTTAAGTACCTTTTAATAAACTGCAATTCCGTGACATACAAAGGATTCTAAAGATACTTTTGCTCTCACAAACATACCAAATATTCTAGAATTCCATGTGATGGCAACTTGGCAATTAAAGTGGAATCACAGTACTACAAATATTCAGTGGAAAAGGGTCACTGTTTTAATTTATGAAGTGAAATATATGTGACTTTAGAGAATAAAATTATAGAAAATAAAACTGACTAATGAAAACAGCACAGATTATAACCTAAACAATGTTCTGTTTTCTATACATTTCATCCATCTTTTTAGTGAAACCTTTACATCTGTGTGCACAATGTTATTACTGTTTCTTTCCCTTTACGTTTAAGTTAATATTAAAGATAAAAAATGAGTTATATTATTGGGAGGAAATGCAGAATTTAATTTAATCAAACAATGTATTCCTTCTTAAATTTGGTTTTCATGTGCTCCAAAAATTGCCTGAATATGAAGGCACCCATTATAAACAAATGAAACTTACTGAAGCCATTAACATCTTGACAGCTTGACGTGAAAGTTTCTTCATTATGAACAGCACCGAGCTTTGTAGAAGTCTTGTCAGAAGCAGCCACTGGTCCCATTTCTCTTTGACTGCTGCTTTGGGTTTCTTTTTGCTTCTTTGCTAGTTTCCTTCACAATGTTTTGGAAAGGAAAAAAATACTTATTAGTTATTTTTTATTTACAAATTTTAAAAAATAAATTAAAAGGAGACAAACAAAACAATTTACTGTTGGTTCTTTTTAAAATAAACATACAAAATTTCCTAGTTTATAGCAGCAACATGCAGGCTTCTTTACAAATGTGAAGAAGCATCACACTGCATCTCCATTGTAAAGTCAGCAATGGAGAGTACAGAAGGAAATCAGCACAGAAATAAAATGAATGTTAACAGCAAACAAAAAGCTGGGTCAAGAAAAAGAAAACATAGCCAAATGGGGCAATAATGAGATAATACCAGGCATCTATCCTGGGGGTTTCATTAATTGTTCATGAATGCTCAGTTAGCCAAACACCCAGTAAGGTAGTGTTTCTCTAAAACTTACTGTAAGATGCTTTGAGTTTCATATTGAAAGAAAGGTGGGCAATAAGTAAAATAAATAAATTATGTTCTTCATTTCTAAGATCTGAGTGTAGATGCAATAAAATGTTTACCTTGAATAAAATATTTTTGAAAGATTCTTCTGCTTACTTTCCCAGATGACGTTATGGTTTGCAAATAAAAAAAATACATCATGATTTATTTATTTGTACAATTTTGTAGGTTCAGAGGGATGCATTTATCTAACTATCCATGGGGTGAACAAAGTATGTAATCTATTTTCTCCTTGCTATATGATCATATTTGAAAACTGTGCACAAGAAGAGAAAATATTGCTTGCCTCCCACCTCCGTACTCACCTTTTCCTCATCCTCCATGACATGGCTATATGGTGACCAAGGAAAGGGAGGCCAAAACATGTTCCAATATGTGGCTCAGAATGACATCATGACCCAGAACTTCTGGGGGACTCTCAGGAATTTCAAGATCATGCTTGCTTTCATCCATGCCCGCTATCAGCAATGATCCTCAGTTGACCCTCTCCTTTCTTTGGCCACCACATAGCAACAAGGTGATATAGGCTGGGGAGGGATCCTCCAGGTCCATATGAACAAGGCCTTGGGTGAGGGATGGAAAGGGGGCTTTACAATAATTCTTCCCACTGGAATTTCTTGACATTTGAACCTATCCTCCCTCCCTCCCTCCCTTCATTTCTTTCTTTCTTTTTCTTTTTTTCTTTCAGAAGTCCTAAAATATTATGTTCATCCCTAGTACAGAGGCAACATGTTGATTGTGACTGAAAATAGATTGATGAATGCTGACAGTCCAAGTACTTTTCGACATCTGCACCATTTGCCATTTCTAACCAGACATTGAAAGGACCCTGTTCTTATATTAATTTATGATTTGGTTGAAGTTACCATGGTACGCCCTCTTCACTATTTTTTTCTGAAAATTTTCCCATAAAGAGAGTTCCAATTTAAGTGAGTACAAGGGCGCTTTCAGACTGTGCAAAAATTCAAGTTTTAAATGAAAAACAAAAAACCTGGAACCTAAGAACATGTCCCATGCAAACTTGTGGGTCTAGTAATTTCTTCCCCTGCCATCCTCACAGGCTTCCTCAGTATCAGTACAAGATAGAGGGTGGACGGGGATAACCGGCGGAAGGTTTTTTGGTTTTTAAAAAATCACTCCATTATGCACATATTTGCGCACGTACAAATATCTTAATATAGATACCAGCTGATTCGGATGTGCACATCTGAGGTTCAGCATATTAAAAAATCCACTTGAATTCTCTCTTCCCCCAGTTGTTTACTCAAGCTCTGGTTAATATTATAAAGTTTGAAATAAAGAGTTTTAGAGAGTTCTACTTACTCTCCATTAATGCTTCTTTTAAACCACCTATGTATCCATTTGATAACCCAATCAGCTGATCAGCTATTTCAAGCTGTTTAAAAGCAGACATGTGCTAGTGCAATCTCCACAGAGGGGAGGGAAGGAAATCATGGGTTTGTTTTTTTTTTGCAAGTGCAGAGATATAGAGTGCAGAGATATAGAGTGATATAAATATGCATGTTTTGTGGCAGAATCATGATAAAAGGGGACCTGTTTACCCCATGATTTGGTGACGTTGCAGTGAATCAGTGCACATTTAGCACTAGTGTCATGTAGCCACCCCCTTTCTAACTCGGGAAATCCCATGTTTTAGATGATGTACAGATGGGCCCCAAAAGATCTGTTGCTTTCTCCATAAAAGAATGAATACTCAGAGTTAAAGGCTGTGTGGGTGTGTTCAATCTGAACTCTTCCAAAAGCTTGCACAGAGTGTTCAGAATAAAATCAATTATATAGCTTCTTTTATACTAGACATAAGAAACTTCACTGAGTATAGACTTTTTCTTGGACCTTAGTTGCTTCACATATAGGGATGCAACTATCTGAATGGTTTCTCCACCTGGATGCAGTTTCAAAAGTTTTCAAGCACTGATCCCTCCCCTTGCACATTTGGAGTTTTTTTGTGAAAAAAAGTTTGCACATATTCTTGAGCTTTCTGCACAAAGATTGTGGAAAAAATAGTTTTTACATTAATTACTTCTCCTGAAAATATATTGAAAGAGAAAAATATTTTATGGTTGATCATATTTTTGATGGAGTTCTCTTGATGTTTCATCAGGAATGAAAAAAATGCAAGTACTCCTTACATCCTAACACACACTTACCCACCCTATTTCCTGGTAATTCACTATGCTGGCCCACTAGCATTATCACACTAAAATAAATTTTAAGAAATGAGGACTGAAACTTTCATCCATCTTCTATGGCAACAATCATTGCCAAAATAAATTATTACATTGTTAATACAGTATATCCTGCATTGTTGTGGTTTTGTGCCTTCAAGTCATTTCTGACTTATGGTGACCCTAAAGTGGACCTATCATGGCAAAAAAATGTTTAAATTGTTGAGTTTGAGAGAGGGTCAATTGCCCAAGATCACTAGGACATCACGTTTGAAAGCTACTGACATGCATCATCAGTTCTTACAGTTCTTACAATACTGCAAATATTCAGATGAAGCTGGATTTTCTTTCTCACCTAAACTTGGACACGGATTTCATCCTATAGAAAGCACGAAGGCTTTGAGTGAAATTCCTGAAACCCCTGCACCACACACACATACAAGGACTAAATCCCCCCTCTTTTAAAAAAAATCTACGTCGAAATTTATTTGCTCCCAAACCAGCCAAAAGCTCCCCCAAACCACCACCAGAAAATGTGTTTTGCTTCCTTCACTCCCTCAAAACCTCCAACATTACCTAAGAATGGATCTCATACTGAAGCAATTCACAAAAGCAGCAAAATCTTTAGCATTAGCAAGACTCAATTCAGAGTCTGCTCTAAAAATACAGCCCTAAAATTAAAAATGATTCCTGTTTTTAGCTGCCAATAGGATGAAAATGGAAGAGAAGGATCAGCAGAAGCTATGTTGACATTTGACTGCCCTAGTCTTCACTCATACTGTATAAGAAAACTCTTGAAAAATGAATCTGTGGCATTCTGCAAATTAGCAGGTTGGAACATTACCAAATGAATCTTCAGCATTACTCCACCATGCAAAACAACCTTGTTCATCTTGCCTTGACTGATAAGAAAACAGAAACAAATACAGGAAAAAATACAGACATGTTACTGTACCTAGCGACTTTATATTATTTTCCTTTGTTACTGAAATCTGAATAATTAAAAGAAATTATACCAATGTTTTCTTCCTCACATTGACTGAATTGATACTTAAAGTGGGAAATGGCTCATAGCTACATCTTTATGTAAAAATAAATTTAATCACTGCATAGGAAATCCATCACTAGACCACTGAAGACATTTATCACTAAGGGTGTCATGCTGAAAACTCTGACCTGTAGATATATTTGTTTTATCTGATATTTTAGATGGACTCTTAAACAGAAAATTCATAGTAAAACTGAAATCGTAAAGTCAACAAATCATACTGGAACAAATTAATAGAGTAAGGAAAGGAAGAAATCACTCTTTTCTGTGGTTCCTTTACAGGAGCCTCTCTGATGGCTTCTTTAGGTGGCAACTGCCTGTTATTAAACAGAAGAAAACTATATGCTTCTGTTTTTAATGCAATATACAATGGGGTCTGAGAAATGTTTTGGAAGCTCCAGCCCATCTAAAAACTTCAGCCAGATTGTAAACAGAGGCTGAGTACAATGAACACACAACTTCATTAACGCAAAAGCTCCACTGGCTGTGGAACCATTTCAGAGCACAAATCAAGGTACTAGTTATGACCTTTTAAGTCCTACATAGCTCAGGTCTAAATTATTTGAAGGACCATGCTATCCCGTGTGAACCAGCTTGTGCTTTGAGATCTACTAGAGATCATTCTATCCCATTACCTTCATATGTAAGGCCTTGCATGGTCTGGGGCCGATGTACCTGAGGGACCACCTCACCCCCTACCACCCCAGAGATCCCTCCGTTCTGAGGACCAAGCTCTATTGGAAATTTCCAGTGTCAAGACCTTGTGTCTAACAGCAACCAGACGCAGAGCCTTCACAGCAGTGGCACCATCACTCTGGAATACTCTGCCACCTGAAGTACGTGCCTTGTGGGACTTACCAGCTTTCCGCAGGGCATGTAAGACATACCTGTTTCAACAGGCTTTTAATGTTTGATATTGCTGTTTTTAAATTGTTTTAAATTGCTTTTAAATTTTGTTAGATTTTAGCCAGTCTTGTAAGCCGCTCCGAGCCCCAGGGGAGTGGCGGCATATAAGTTCAAATAATAAATAAATAAATAAATATGTACATCTGATGGGGATACAGGGCATGGCCTTCCCATTTGGTGCCCCAAGGCTCTGGAATTCCCTTCTGAGGCTGGTACCCTCCCTACTTCCATTTTGCAGACAAGGAGATAATTGTTTGGACAGGATTTGATGATTGACGATAGAGCATTCTTTTATGGAATATGCCTTATATCTTGCTATTGTGTGTGCATATGTTTAAGGATATATGTTTTGTAGCCTGAATTTAAATATTTTGATTATTTAATCTTATTTGAACTCTTGTTTCTTCTGGATTTTAATGATACTTTTAAAATGTTGTTAATGAGTCTCTAACTGGAAAAGAGGTAGAACGAACACCCCCTCCCACCCCCCCCACCCCACACACACAGTATAAGCTGCACCAAGGAAAAGAAGCATATTTCTATTTATATTCCAGCAAATTCCTGTTTATCTTTTATAGACTGATATTACCAATCTAGCCATAGACCCAAGAAAACATCAATGCTATTTAAGGGTGAATTTTTTTAAAAGGATAGAGGAAAATGTGAGAATTAATGGGTTTAGTAAAATAAAAATTTATTTCCCTCACTTTGAAGAGGACTGATATAATTGAACCGAAATCCTGCTTTTTACTTAATGCAAATTTCTCCCAGATATTTGATATCACACGATTTTTTTTCTATCTCAAAACACAGCATGTTCATCAAAGTATTCATTTAGGCCTGTTGCTTTCAGTTGTATTTTAACTGCTATAAATTCATTACTTTGGGTAGGAAAACAGCTTGAACAAAGGCAGGGAAATATAGGTATGCATTCATACTACTTTTATGCTTAATG